GAGAGATGTCGCTACGATCATAACCAATGACGACAAATGTGTAGTGAGGGTGTTGAATGTTGTGGTGACGAGAGATGTCGCTACGATCATAACCAATGACGACAAAATGTGTAGTGAGGGTGTTGAATGTTGTGGTGACGAGAGATGTCGCTACGATCATAACCAATGACGACAAAATGTGTAGTGAGGGTGTTGAATGTCGCTTACCCTGAGCACGGCAAGAACGACCTTGGCTCGCCCTGCTTGCACGGCTACAGTGCTCACTGTGGTGGTGGACGGTGGGATCAGCGACAGATCCATCGACTCTGCTCTGCGATCCATCTCTCTCTCACTCACTGGTCAAACCCACTGGTCAAACCCACTGGTCAACCGGTCAAGCGAGGGGAGGAAACGTCCAACTCATCAGCGCCGTTCGGCGTGACGGGTTTTTGGTTGGAATTTGTTGAAAAAGACCACTTCAATGAGAATCACTTTCAATCTGGTTTCGTTTTTTTCCTCTTCCTCTCTGAGCGCCTCAGTCTGGTTTACTGAGCGCCACAGAGGGTTCCGGGGAGCGCCGAAGAAGTAATCAAAAACACTTCACAGAAAAAAACGGGGAAATCTAGGTAGGTATTTCCACTTCGCAAAAATCTGCGGTCGAATGAAATCTTCGGGCTGTGAAATTTGTTACAGTAAATGTATTTTCTTTATGAAATCACTGTTCCTGTTCCAAAGTTGTCGCGTGCAGAAATGAACACAGGCGAAAACTTGTGAATTCTTCATGAGACCTCGAAGAAAATTGTGATAATCTTCAGGCAGTTCGCGGACAGAAACAGCGGTTTCAGTAGGTAGGCATGCATGCAGAACCTTCTTGTTCGAAACACGGCTCTAAACAAAGCTCACACCGACGTGTGTTCCAGACCTACCCCCTTCACCGACCGCCATATCAAAGGGCGAGACTTGGCAGCCGGCCCAAGATGCGACAGGTAAGGGGTGCCAGCATCAACACTTATCTAATTTTAGTAACAAATTTAATAAACGATTACAAACTCACCCCGTGACACGTAGAAATTACTAGAATTATTCATCACAATACGGGCTTAACTCCTAGGATCATAGGGACCTCATTTCTCGCTATGTTCCAAGTTTTGGAGTAAACTTTCCATCCCCGCTACTTCTCCAGATCACCCCCGTACAGCGCCGCTCACAGTGGACTCGCCCGATGATGCCATGCACTGCAGAGATCTAAAAATAGCACCTTCCCCCTTATAAGGAAAGCAGGCTCTCAAAGTAAGTATAGAGAAAAACTGCGCTCGCCAACAGTTTACAAAACTTATTATTTAATATCGGAGCAGTCAAAGGGTTCGAACTTTCGACGGTCAAGGGTGTAGAGTGGGAATTTGGTGTTTTCAACCAGTGAAGTCTGTCGCGTGCCGGGGTGGGCTCCCGGTGTGTGAGTGAGTGAGTGAGGAGGGCGGGGAGGGAGGAGGGAGGAAGGAGGAGGGGCGGGGGAGAGAG